GATTTATGTACAGTGATTGCATCAATTTGACTAGATGTGTTGGTACCCCAGTTCTTATAGGGCTTTCCATAGCTTCTCATGATTCACACAAGCGAAGGCTTTCTTGTAGTCAATGATATATAAATTATCTTGAGATCCACCACAGATTTGCAATATGATCATGGGCGCCACAACCCCTTCAGAAGCCAGTTTGGGTATTTGGTAATTTCCTTTCTATGGTTGGTGCTAGATAGTGTTGTATAATTTTAACTGTTAATAGTAGTTTTTTTTTAATTAAAGTTTTTTATTTATTTATTTATGACATTTGTATGCCGCCCACTCCTTAGGGACTCTGGGCGGCTTACAGACAAAGTAGGAGACATATAAAAATTAAAAATAAGAATACAGTTAATTAAAAAATTCACATCATGCATACAGCTTAGCGTGGGGCTGGATACTCATCAACAGCCCCAGGCCTGCCGGAACAGCCAGGTCTTCGCAGCTTTGCGGAAGGCCGGGAGAGTAGTGAGGGTCCGGATCTCTACGGGGAGATCGTTCCACAGGGCCAGGGCAGCAACAGAGAAGGCCCTCCCCCGGGGAGTCGCCAACCGACATTGACCAGCCGATGGCACCCGGAGGAGGCCCAATCTGTGCGATCTTATTGGTCTTTGGGAGGTAAATGGCAGGAGGCGGTCTCTCAGGTAGCCAGGTCATACGCAGTATTCTGTGTTCTGTGTTCTATACACAGAATCCAAACTCTATAGTTTATTTTCAAAATACTTGGCTTTAGAGATCTAAACCCAGTGATGGGATTCAAATAATTTAACAACCGGTTCTCTGCCCTAATGATTTCTTCCAAACAACTGGTTCACCAAACTGCTCAGAAAATTAACAACCAATTCTCCTGAAGTGGTGCGAACTGACTGAATCCCACCACTGCGTAAAACCCAATCTGAACTCAAAACATTATTAAGAATGCAAATGCTAGAACTTTCCTTGAGGATTTAAAAGACCATTGGCAAAAATAAGAAAGAATATAAACTTAATCTATTTGGCCAATGTTAAAATATTGGACTGTTATTTAGAGGAATCTTTGATAGCTTCTTGATTAGGACCAGATGAAAATGGTTTTATTTCAGGTAATGTTTCTCTTTTTTTTGATGGGGGGTGGGTGGGTGGGACTGGATTTTGATTATTTCAAAAGAGGAACTGGGCAGAGGGATTTTTTTTTAAGAAAAGGGGGCTTGAGATTGGGTATAATAAATGTAATTTCTAATACTTGTAGTCATTTCTGATAACCCTTTCTGGACTTTTGCTGTTTAATAGGGAGTGAGAAAGTTTTAGAGATGGATTTATAAAAACTGTGGTAAGAAACGAAATGAAGAGATGTTTTATTTTATTTTAAGTGGTAAGTTCTTAATGTTGATTATATTTTCTGGAGATGCAAGGGGAAATTTACTCAGAATGTCTTTGGAATTTAAAACAGGCTCAGGGCTATTCTTAGACTAATGCTTTGCAGATTCCCACTTAATGCATGTTTAAATTAAAACACAAAAAAGTACCCATTCCCACCCCAAAATAAATAATATGGAGTAAGAAGCTTGGAAGATGGCATGAGAAGTATATTTTGTGCTCCTAGTTTTTATATTGCTCCAGCACCATGGAACAAGAGTAAGTCAAACCCATTTACCATTTTCCTAGACTAACCCAATCTGGATCTATGTTAAAATGACAGAATATAACTAATATCAATATCAGAAAGTTTTGTTTCTGAGCTTTTTACTCAGGCAGATCAATAAGATGAATAGCTACTTGCTCTGACCCCCCTCATCCCACACCAACACACTCCAAGCCAAAGATATGTTACGGCATTTAATTAACAGACAGACAGGTCCTGGCAGCAAACTGGCACAGACAAGCTTGGGCAGCAATCCAGCACGGATAAGCCCTGGCAGCAATCCAGCCTACCAAGCTCACAATACTGTTCATCCAACATTAGTTCCTGCGTTGACTTCTGCAAGAGGGGNCCGGTGAGATTAGAACCGCTGAACTGCAGATAACAGTCAGCTGAAGTGGCCTGCAGTACTGCACCCTAACCACTGCGCCACCTCGGCTCTTATCCTTCTTATCTTTTCTACTATCTTCCCCTACTGATATCTTATAATTAGAGTACTTCATTGTTTGTATGCACACTGAGAGCTTATGCACCAGAGATGAATTCCTTGTGTGTCTAGTCACATTTGGCCAATAAAACTATTTTTCTCTTCTCTCCTCTATTCTATTCCTACTATCATTACATTTCCAACGATTTTTGGATAATGAATTTCCAATTAGTTAAGAGAACTGGAGTAGACTGGCAACAATAAAACATCGGCTGAGATTTATTTTTTGTTAATTTAATATTCAGAGTAAATGTAATGTCCTTCTTCAACTGACTTTCCTACTGTTGTGTATCTATTACTCCATTCCAGTTCTGCATTCATTGTTTGATAGTTTTATAACCTGTCATTTATAAGAGATCTACAGCTAAAGCGAGATGAACTCTAGGCAAGAGTTATCCCTATCAGAAACACAGCCAACCTATTGGATGTAAATGAAAATATAACACAAGGTTTTCAGTTGTAGAAGCATAAGAACAGAATGCAGCATTAAAAATTGAATTGATTTCTACCTTCATCTGACATCTCTCAAATTAACTATACTCCACAGATGTGGATTTTTGAATCTTCTTTTAAGTGAATGCTATGCTTCTTGTTAATCTTAAGAATGTGTGACTAGTGAAATGTGAAAAGGCCTTGGCTAGCAATGGATTGGCATGAGGTTGTCTGCTTTGGGCATTAAATAAGGCAATATTCTCCCATTTTTCTATTTTAATTTAAATTATTGTGTGATATTGTTTGTTGCCCAGAATCAATTGGATTGAGCTGGATGGTTATAGAAATCGAATACAATAATTAAACAAATATTTCCCCATTCTGCTTTACATTATTGCTATTCTCTTATTTACTCCACACATTTGACAAATTCTATTCAAAGGGAATAAAATATCCAGCTTAATTGGATTTATTTAGCAGTGAGAAATATATACAATTAGATTCAGGTCCAGGATTCATTTCTGACAGCATTTCTCACTACATTCAAATTGGATTTTTAAGAATTTCCATACTGATTGAACAAAAATAGGGCTAATATGCCAATTGTAATTTATTACCAATTAGTTTTTAAATCTCCTGCATGTACTGTGTGTGTGTGTTGTGTGTGTGTGTAATTATTGTTTAAAAGGCATGTTTAAAATGCATTAAACTAGTTTTCAAATGAATATCTTGACGTAAATACAGAGGTCTTGCTTTTATATTGCAGATGAAAGTGAAAACCTAAGACAATGAACTCTAAAAATGTTAATCCTGAAACATTAAAGAATGCGTTCTTGGACATTTGCTGCATATTTTTTTTAAGCAAGGTACAGTACAGGTTGTGATTATTTTTTCATTTGCTTATTGTACCTCATTATTTTTAGGTTCCCATGCCTAAGGCAGGACTAGAACTCACAGTCCCCTGGTTTTCAGGATGACACCTTAACCACTAAACCAAATGGAACAGATTCTCAATCAGCCATTTTCCTTTACTTACAATGAGAGAAATGCTTTAATAATTTGCCTTAAGACATCCCATTCGTTGCCAGACAAAACAGGTAGGAAATAAGTTGGAACTAAATAGACCTTGGAGATTAAAAATGAGGCAGGCAGGAAGCAAATGTCATGGAATTGTGTATATCATCTTTCCAGAAATGTGTAGCACTGCAAAAGGGATGTGTTTGCTCTAAAAGTATCCCTTCAAATGGCATTCAGAGAAGCAACGCAGAAACAGACAAATTTCCAGCATGCTGGCCCTTTGAGTCCCAAAAGAGATAGGATAGATAGAGGAAAAGTGTTCGGAGACTACAATTGGTCCAGAATGCAGCTGCGCGAGCGATATTGGGTGTACCACCCGGAGGAGGGCCTTCTCGGTGGCTGCTCCGNGAACCCTGTCCAGGGTCCTCCACATCCTCCAGAGCCGACTCATAGGGCCCCTCGCTGTTGGAGTCTGGTGGCAGCTCCAACGGCTCCTGCTGGGTGATAACACTACTGAATCTGCTTTGTACCTAGCAAAAGTCTGCTTTCGTTATGCTGTAACTCTTGGGTTTTCCATATGAATGTAGTCTACAATTCCTTCTATGCTGCAAGATGTAAAATTGGAGCCAGACATATCACTTTTCTCATGGCTGTGGGTTGGCCAGTTTCCCTTCCAGAAATATTGGGCACAAATATCATTGACATACCAGGCAAGACATCCTGATAATCAGTTCTCAGAGTCAAGTTAGCTTTGGGAAATGCTAGGACCACACTTGGCACAGGGCACAATCCCAGTTTTTGATTCTGAAAGTGAAGACTGAATTCTCTAATTTACATGATTAAAAGAACGGGCCATAATCAGGTTTTATGATTAAATTTCAATTGTATTTTATAAAAAATAATTAACTTTCACAGAAGTGAAGAGATACAGGTACACAGTGGCAGACACAATGGTATAAATACAGATCATTGAGAAACTGCTTGCAAGAGATTAAAAACAGACTGTACAGCACCGCATCTGAAATTGTGTAATAGCCAATGGGATTTTTACTCTTTCTACCTTTAAAGTAACCCAATCCATAACAGGTTAATTTTGGAACACTGCTTTTAAAAATGCACACCTTTGCCCCAAAGAATTCTTCTCAATTTTCCCTTAGATGATTGCCCAAATATACTTTAACGTTGAGCAATTTATTTATTTATTTTTTAAAAAATGATGATGGTAGAAAAAGACATTCATGCAGTTTTACACCACCGTTAAGTCTCTGATTCTAATATAAGGCAGATCATTAATTTTGTTCGTGTTTCTTAAAACAATGTCTTTCCCACTGAAATAAGCATTTAATACTTCCCATGACAAAGTCACAGCAGGCTTTGTATACTGTTTAGAAAGATACCTGTAGGATGAACTAGGTCATTTTTTTAAAAGAAAGACTTTGCCATATTCGGAATACATTACATTGTAGAAAAATCCTCCTCCATTCATTTTTACTGAGAAAGAAAGAAAGAAAAAAGAATTGAAAATAAACCCAGCAGGATGCTTTTGAGTTCGGCACAATGATACTCTTTCTTGGTGGTCATGTTGACACCTATGTGTCATCTTCTGTTTTAATAATGTGGAAAAGAGTGACGTTGAATAGGACTTGGTGCCCATTATTCCAGGCATAGAGAGCTCTATCTCTGGAATTGTAGTCAAGCATTGATATATGGAAATACTGATTGTGAAAAGGTATGTCTGTATATTCATACGTGGAGGTTTTTGTCGAGTACGAATAGTAGACCTTGGCTCCGGTTAAGTGGGAATTGGTGACGTACAAGGTGCCACAGATCATGAACGACTCCCCGGCGCTTCGCTTGGGGTACCCGGTGCTCCAGGTTTTCATCACTTCTAAGGTATCCTGGTTCAGCTGACTGATGACAATGTTGCCGGCGTTCTGATTGGTTGCGTAGACAGCCCACAGACCTATCTCGTCGGCCATCAGATCGATATCCGAGAAGCCACCCCAGGTGTAAGGGTAGACGTTGTGAAAGCCAGCGTACTCCAGGCTGCGCTGAGCAAGCACCTGCCCCGTATCAAAGCTATACTTGATGATGATGTTGCTCTGATACTTGTTGAAATAGAGAGACCCGTTGTAGACAACATGATTGGTTCCTGCCCATTTGAAAGGGAGATTGTATGTCCTGGACTCTGCGCCGCTGACAAAATCTGCTATGGATTTGTATTCGCGGACAATTTTGTTGTTGGTGTAACTGTCCATATACCAGACCTGAAAGTGAGAAGAAAACACGTGCTTTGGAAAAATCAAATCAATACACTATTTTTAAATACATATATTACCCATCTCCCTGCCACACATATTTTGACTTATTTCCGTAGCAAAAGAAAGCCAAATTGTTCAAGAATGGATGCAAAAAGTTACCAAATGTTTCAGTCCTTTGTGCTATATGATCAATCCATTTCCATTCTCCCCCTCCTCTCCATCCATCCATCCATCCATCCATCCATCCATCCATCTATCATCTATCATCTATCTATCATCTATCATCTATCTATCTGTCTGTCTGTCTGTCTGTCTGTCTGTCTATCTATCTATCTATCATCCATCCATCCATCTATCAACTATCTATCTATCTATCTATCTATCTATCTA